CCAGCATCTCACCTTGCTTCCCAGCCCAGGGTTACCAGGGCTTAGCCAACTGTGTTTGCAATGCAGCAAGTGCAAGGGAATGTGACCTGCCCCATTCAAGTTGTCCCTCCTGCTGGAAGGACCAGCCTTGCCCAGTTTTTTTTTGCTTCTGCTATCTCCCATGCTTCACTTGCCCTCAGAGCAGCTCAGTGAGATCCTTGGGGACAGAGGACACCATCAAGAGAAGGTCTACACCTCTGCAGATGCTGTGACAGAAACGATGAGACCTGGAATAGGAATGACACAAAGTTATTGTCTCTGCATGGTTGCAGAATACTGTGTGTTTCTCTTGAGCCCAGTGCTGCCCTGCTTCACTACCTTACCTGGCACAGCCCCATTGTGGCACCAGCACCCTTGTGAATCATTAACAGGCCAAGTCCAGCTGCTCCTTTCACAGCTTCTCCTTTCACACAATTTTCTTTCCCAGCCCCTAAATGTTTAACTCAAGCAAGGCACAGACGGAAAAGAGTCAAAAAGACTTTATGTGAATCTGCATCTGCTAACAACAAAGCAAGGAGCCAGAGCGATTGCAGACAAATATGTCCTATCTCTGCATCCCTGGTGGGTAAGCTGGTCCTCCTTGCAACAAGGGTTCCTTTCCTGTTTGTCCTTTACTCTGACACTTCACAGACATCCCTGTTCTTCCTTTTACACAGAGCAGTCTCTTTTGGAGCTTGCAATGGGACTTAACCTAAAAGCACCTCTCAGTCTCTTTAATGAATTTCCTGGCCCTTCTCCTTTACTAGAAGAGTTTGGTCATTCGTGCCCCTGCAAGAAACTGCCATTCCCATACTTTGCTGCTTAGTGCAGGGTGGAGTTTTCTAGTTTAAGGCTGGTCAAAGTAGGCGGGCACTGTAGAGTAGTCAGTCTTAGAGCTGGGACATACACGAATGAAGGGAACAGGAGGGAGCTGGCACAGGTGTAGGTAAGACCTGAGTACATGTGTATTCGAGAGCCTGGCACGAAGGTGGAGTGCCAGAACCTGAATGCACATCTGTTCGTATGGCTGCCTGGAGGAGTGTGTACCATAGCAGTGTACGTGTGCGAGGGCAACTTTGCTTGAACAAGGTCTGGTAGTGCTTCAAGAGGACTTGTTGAGGTGAGATTTTTTCAACCATTTCTTGGTATCTGGTGTGGATGCTCTGGTGCCCAAAACCGTATTGACTGCTCATGCTCAGCAGCATGAATTGGGAGATAGTTTTATCAAATCCTTCTTCAGTTTGGTCTGATCAGTTTCTGCAGAATTAGAAGTAGCATCTCCGCATTCAGAGGAGAACAGATGACATGACTGTCACTAGTAGGAAACGCTGAGAAGGGGCACTGAAAAGACAATCTGGAGAAGCAGGAACTACCCTCTAAGCCAGACCAACAGCTTTGGTCTGCATGAAGAATCATCAAGTAGCAATTTACTGGCACCCATATGTTTACAGTCTTGTACAAAAACTATGAGCCACCATCAGTGCCATCAAAGACCAGTATCGGGGACTTCCCTGGCACCAGGTTCTCTTTGCTGTGCTACTGCCACTACAGCAGTGAGGGATCTGTACAGGTTTGGAGAGCTCCCCCAGACCTTCGGAGCACTCAGCCACAGCTTGCACAGCGCAAAGTATTTTGGGCTGTACTGTCTCCCCATCTCAGACATATACAGGTTCAACAGCCCTGTGCTCTGAGGATCATGCTGCCCATGCCCAGAGTGTGTTTGGTGGCTATGTCTCCTTGGGGCTGCCTGCTGCTTTCTATAATGCTGTTTCTTTGCCAGGATCAAGATTTCCCAAGGCTCCTTTGTGCTTCTGGAAAAGCTTAAAACTCTCTCTTTTTGGAGATTAGCTGCTCAGGCAGGCAGATTCCAGTTCTTTGCATTCTTGTACGTGTGCCGTGGGAGACTCTATCATGGTGACACTGGATTGTCGTATTTTTCAGTAGTTCTGTTCTTCATCCTTAGTGCCTTGAGATTCTTCCTATTCTTTCTGCTCTCAGCTAAATCCTGGCTCATCTCTCTGCCAGCGCACAGTAACAGTATGCCTTTTTTGTTCTGCATCTGAGGTTGTCTCAATCATTCTGGACTGATCTTTACTCTGCGGCTCTGCAAGAGCTTTGTATTTCACTTTGCAATATGAAATCAACTGAATCACTTGTTACTCTGAATGTTTGCTGTAGGGAGAATGTGGTTAAGCTTAAGGCTTTAGTTTAGAAATATTCCAGCTGCCACAATCCAGAGTTACAGTGGTGAAAAATAAGGTTATGTAACTAGTATTTTTTTAATATTAGGAAATGTCTGATAGAACAGCTACTGCTTTTTGCTGCTCCTCTATTCTGCTTCACCAGGCACACACAACTCATTTCAGTCCTTCTCCGCTCCCTGTGGGACAGACTGGTCAGGGCAACTATCATCATACTTCTTGTATAAAAGTGAAGAAGCTGTTGAGGCTGTGGCCTAACATGAGGCCATTTCTCAGGCAAGCACCAAGAGCAGTCACAGGGATGGTCTGCATACTCTCTGAAATGTCTAAAACATCCAGCTGTCCCACCCTGATTTGATTCAAGATAAAAGCACACCCTTGCTTCTCAAAAAACCTGAATCCATTGTCTGAGACTCATATGCAGACTGTTCACACAGGTTTCCAGAGAAATAATGATTTCTGTGGTTTTTAAATCTGCCTGAGTATCTTAATGCCAGTGTTCACGTCTGCTCAACAGAGTCTTTCTCAACTAAGAGCTTATAGCTGTAGTCCAGGAACTCTGTGGGGGGTTAGAATAATGATATTAATGTTGCCAGATGGAAGTGATATCATCAAAGTTCATTTGGAAGCCAGGACTTTTGGTAAACACTGCTGTATTCATTTGCAAGGAGGAAGCTGATATAGGACTTACTTTTACAACAGTCTTTGTTTACAACTCTTCCTAGGCTTGGGCCAAATGTTGACCTGAATCAGCTTCTTGTCAGACCTTAACGCTACAATCCATTTGTATAACCAGAAAAATCAGTGGGCTTCTTGTCCATGGGACCAGAAACATCTGGTCCCTCACTAAATGCACAGCCTCACCTTTGCAAAACATTACTAAAATAAAATTCATATTGTGGCAGCACTTACTGACAACAACCAGGCTTACCCATTAGGCTGGGTATTGGTCTACCTCTGCGATATTATAATTGCTGCCTTATAAACCCTAAGCTTAAAACGAATGCACAGCAGATGGATTAGATAAACAAGCCAATTTAAGCATATATGCTGGAGGGAAAGATGAGTACTGTTCCTAGCTGGTTAGCAGCAGCGACTGTATCTGGAAATCTAAACATCAGTGCTAAAGGAACCAAGATCATGGGAGGAGGCAACTCCATGCAAATTAGACTGAAAGCTTCGCTGGGGAGGGAAATTGAGGCAGGGCATAAGGAGGAGGTTAGGGAAATTTTGACTGGGAACATTCACGCATTACCATGGACCCAGAAGATAACATGGTAAGCATGTACTATGGAAGCAGTGTCTGCATTGTGGCCAGTTAGGGCACGCTTTATACCTCTGTTGCTTTAGTAGGGAGGTAGCTGTTCTGTGTGGGCATGGCTGTCTAAATTTAGTGCAACTGTGGGCTGCACAAAAGCAGCATACAAAGCTGTAAGGATCTGGGCTCCAGTGCTGTGCTGTCCAGAAGGACTTCCAGCTTGCCCTGCAGCCCTGAAAGGCCTGCTCTCTCTGTCCTGTCTGGCTGAGGAAGCACCTGGAAGGACTGACCGTGACTGAGAACTAGTAAGGTTTTAAAATTTATTTTAACCTTGGGAAATGTAAAGCAGTTGCACTGGCCAGAGAGGCCTGTCTCCACTGCAGCGCAGCTAAACTGCCAGCCTGGCACATGGTGACAGGGAGCACACCATATCACTTCTGTGCTATCTGAGGAGCCTGTCCCCAGGGGTGGCCAGTGCTGCATGCACCCACTTGTATTCAAGGCACTATCAGGTATGGCTGAAGAGAGCACACAAGAGAGGAGCAGTTGGCAGGGCATGCTTTAATGTACTTTTAAAAAATTAAATTAATCCTTGCTGCTTCAGATCCCATCCCTGATGGTGTACTTCCTGCAGATTCCTGTGCCAGCTGATACTCAGGCTAAGAATTGACATCTTCCAATAATGAAGTCATCCTCAACAGGCAGAATAGAGGTTTAGTGCGAGAAACAAGGAGACAGCTTTGGGCAGACCTTTGAGGTGGACTAACACTTTGTGTTGCACCTCCTCTCATAAAAGACTTACAGCGGGGTTGGAGGGAGGGGTAGCAGGAGACAGTCTTTAAAAATGAGTGAGACTAAGAAAGAGGTTAATTGTAGGTAAGCCTGCCTACACAAAGATGGATGAGATAAACCCTTGTGGGCCTTTCTAGCAAAATTGCCTATGATACTCTGATTGTGGAGGAGATATTGTTGTGCTTGGATTTATTACAGTGCCAATGACTCCCTCTGGTATGTGCAATTTTGCCTGTGATGACAATAGCTGTTTCCTGAAATTCCAAAAAGAATAGAAACAAAAGAAATGGAAACCTACACTGTATTTTTACAGCATTTGGGCATAAAAATAATTGTAAAAGGTGGTCAAAGCAGAAGCTTAAAAGTAACAATGTGGCACTGTTGGATTCTTCACAAAAACAATTTATTCCATCTTTCTTCCATAAAAATTGACAGGTTCATGTCTGCAGGGATTGTATTGTGTATACTAAGTGTTTCACTACACTGAACTAACTTTGATAAAAGTGCAGACAAGTGGTCTTCTAAGACTGCATTAGAATGGCTTACTGACAGACAGTGTTTTTGTTACAGAAAACTTTCAGCCCTACAGTATTTATGTCCTTTCCAAAGACACACTGTGCTGTGGTTGTCACTGTATCACTGGTAGTGTGGCAGCTTTCCAAAATCCTGAGCCTGTAGAGGGATTGACAGGAGCCTGATGCACCACATCCTGCCTTTTTCATGATCCTGTGATGCTGAACTTCATCTGTCTCTGCAGGTCCCTTGCAACTGTGATGAAGTCTAGAAGGGTGCAGGCGCTCCTGGTCCTGGCAGTTCTGTCCTTCCTTCTGATCCACTTCTACTTCCTACCCTGTAGCAACAATGTCCCCATGGAAGAAAAACCTTCTCCAGTCCACATCCTCATTCTCTCCTCCTGGCGGTCAGGATCTTCCTTCACTGGACAGATCTTCAGCCAGCACCCCAGTGTCTTCTACCTGATGGAGCCTGCATGGCATGTGTGGGTTAAGATGTACCAGAACAGTGCCGAAGTCTTGCACATGGCAGTGCGGGACCTAGTAAGATCAGTCTTTCTGTGTGACATGTCTGTGTTTGATGCTTACATGTCTAGCCAGAAGAGAAAGTCTGATTTATTTAAGTGGGAGACAAGCCGAGCCTTGTGCTCCCCCCCTGCCTGTGACTTATTCAGTCGAAGTGACATAATCACTGCAGGCAATTGCAGAACAATCTGTGGCAAGTACCCATTCAGCAAGGTGGAGGAAGCTTGTAAAACCTACAGCCATGTTGCCATCAAGGAAGTTCGTTTTTTTGACCTGAAAGTTCTCTACCCCCTTCTCACTGATCCATCCCTGAACCTCAAAATCATTCACTTGGTACGTGATCCTCGGGCTGTGTTCAGGTCCCGAGAGAATGCAATGGCAGACCTGAAACGTGACAGTAACATTGTTGTGGGGTCCCAGGGGACAAAGGGAGAAATGGGGCCTTACAACACAATGCAAGTAATCTGCAAAAGCCACGTTGAGATTTACAAGGCAGGCAGCCAAGCCATTCCCAGCTTCCTGAAAGACCGTTACCTGCTGATTCGCTATGAAGACATTGTCAGAGACCCACTAGCAAGGGCTGCGCAGATGTACAGGTTTGCAGAACTGCATTTCACACCAGAACTTCAGAAGTGGGTGCACAACATCACCCATGGGAAGGGGCAAGGAGCACAGGCCTTTGATATTGGGTCCAGAGATGCACTGAGAGTATCCCAGGCATGGAGGAAGACCCTTCCCTACCAGAAAATAGAAAAAGTACAAAATGTGTGCAAGGATGCGATGGATTTGCTGGGCTACCGGCTCGTTCAATCTGAAGATGAGCAAAAAAATATGTCACTGGATCTTTTGTTTGCCCAGAACTCCTCTGAGTAACAAATTCTGAAGGCAGAAAAGCTGCTTTCTGCACCTACTCTCTGAAGGCTGCAAAGTGGAAAACTGTTTTCTAGAGCAGGAGGGCACAGAGGTGCATGCATAAGTGTGCAAGACTGTGTGCAAGGATGTGCTATGCAAGAACAAGTAACTCAGGAACCCCAAGTGCGCTCATGGGAGCATTCTTGGTAGCAAAGAGTCACTCCCAAAGGCCCCTGGGGGATCAGCCACAATACAGGCTGAAGTAACGCAAGTCTGTTTTCCAAATTAAGTCCATGGTTTATGCAAAAGAGAAAGTATGTGTCGGCTGGAGCAAAGAGAATGCCAAAGGAGTGGGACCAGATAGCAGAGTTCAAAGCCCTCACAGATATTGCACTGCAATGGAAGAGGAGATATAAATGGAAGCTGAATAAAGACAACGTTATTTGTTGTGCTGCCACCCAGGATATGTAATGCCGAAAAGTGACACAAGGATGACCAGACATTGGTTTCTGGAAAGATCCTTTTTTCGGAATGGTTGAGTTCAAGCCCAGTTTTTCTTTTGCTCCATTCCTGTGCCTGGGCATCCAGCCTTGGTGGCAATGTTGGGGAAATGTTTGTGTTCATTTACTTTATAATGGGAAAACGGAATAAACCAGCTATAGTTGAAAATAAAAACTCCTGGGTTTGTGTATGAGGATCTGTTTCTAGGACTATGTGAATTCATTTCATTTATTTTTCAGATGAAATAATTCTGTCTTCTAGCTTTCAAAACCAAGAATTGTTGTTCCCTTGGGAGTTCTCACAGTCCACAGGTGGGACTGAGAAGAATCTACACTAAGGTCGGGACTGTAAAGACAAGGTAAGGACACAGATTCCATTGGTATAAATACTGGAAGTGAGAAGATAGATTTATGGCAGTGGACTGAAGAAGCCAAGAGGAGAACGGGAAGTTATCCTATCAAATTATTTGGTGAGTATTTCCTGTCTTTAGAGCAAAACAAAATTATGTTGAATAGACTATGCCATTCTCCCACTTCCAATGGGAATATGTAGCTCAAACCTGAACAACAGAATTATTTTTACCTGTTTTTAACAGTGCTCCATAAGACAAGGACAAAAGCTTGTTACCAGACTTGGAGAGTGAAATGCCAACAGATACCTCCTTCTAAACATCCTCTTTCATGTGTAAATTGCAGAGCCCCTTTAACATGCATCTTTTTAACAGTGCATTCAGATATTGCTCCAGAGCTGGAATATTTCCACTACCCTGTAGACCACAAGGCAGCTGTCCTAAGGCAGGATCACAAACATCAACAAGGGATGAGGCTCGATTCTGAGGATGTACATCCTTGGGAGAAGGTGACCAAGGCAAGGCTGGGCATTGGAGGTGATCTGAGGAGGCTCCAGGCTGGATCAGGGCATTCAGGGCCATGGAAAGCTGTGTTCCGCTTCCCTCTCCAACACCACCCCATCTACACACGTCCCTGCTCCTCCTTCTAGTGCTCCTCTTCCCTGTCTGCCCTGGCTGCAGCCCCTTGCCCTAAGGACCTGTTCACTTTGTCAGCTGCCATCCTCATGCCAGTGTAGCTCTGGTGAGGAGTGCTCATATTAAACCTGACAGAAAGGCATTTGGTGCCCACTATAGAAAAGTGACAATGTCTACCTGGAGGACTACACCTCATTTGCATGTTATTACAAAGTTCCAATATCTTCTTAAAAAGAGAAACATATACTGCTGAATTTTAAAATTGGGGGATATAGTGACTTGTGTTCATGTTTGAAAGTGTATAGGCAAGAAATGGTGTCCAGCCCCTACCTGTTGTGTGTGTTTGGAAGGGGGACAGCGGAGGATTCACCTTAACTGAATAGCAATAATAGTAGGAAGAAGGCTCTTCTGACAGATACGCAGCAGTTGGATTGGTTGGGGTTTTTTGTACCAGAGAATTAACGAGGGTTCTGTTATGTGCTGACTCTGCTGAGGAAGGTAGGTAAAGTAACCTTACAGACAGACACTGAGCAGTTATGATGGTTAGCAAAGGCAAGTAGCTAGCTAAGGAGTGGACCTGTGGAATGAGCCAATGAGCCATCCCCAGTTAAGTCAGCTCTGAGACCACAGAGTAGCAGCTTAGAGAAGTGGGAGAGCTTCCCAGCCTGGAAGTAGCTCTGTAGTCACCTTCACTGGGATGCAGGCATCAGCATTCCAGATCCTGTGTGTTCTTTTGGGGTGAGAGACCACCCTGCAGCAGTTAGGAAAGGAGTAGCAGGCTGAATTGTGCAATAGCAAGCGGTGAGTAGGGGAGGTTAGCTGCCCAGCAAGGCAGCTCCACAGGCAGAATTGGTCAGCAGTGGGAAAGACAATATAGGCAGGAGGGAGGCTGTTTTCTTTCAATTTCTGTTACATTCAGTATTGTTAATTACGTAGATTTCACAGGCCAGTGTTTCGTTGCAGCATTTCTCTTACCCATGAAAATTCTGCTTCTTCAAATGCCCCTGTGTATACTCATGCCTTGTAAGGGGTGGGCAGGGGCAGACCTCAGCTTGTTACCCAGTTAGCAGGGTTTTCCTGGTTCCTGAGTGCAGTGCTGTAGACAAATGTCACTGTTTCTGATGAAGGAGCCCTTTGAAATTGTATTCAGATGTCTCTTACTACTAACCAGGGCCTAGAACATTGAATTATACACATACACTACTAAGTCTGTGCACCATACAAGCTGAATTTCTCCTTTAGCTGCTGGTGATTGCTTCAGCACAAAGTCAGTTACTATCCAAATTTCACTCAGTCATGTTTTTCTTTTGGATGAAGTAATCAGCCCAGATGACCACACTAAAAACAATTTAAAGCAGCTGTGGATGATTGCAGGATGCTTGCTCCTCAGGAACATGGTTTCTTTCTGGAGACCACTAAGATAGAGTTCCAGTAAGTATGAATCCTATTGTTTAAAACAAAGCTCTTATTCTTAGTGGTTGGAAAGACTTCTGCTATTTCTGTATCCTTCCAGAGTCAGAATTTCCATTCCATCATTTGTAAAACTGGAATAATACTGACTCATTTCAGAAGATGCAGATCTCGGTCTTGTATTGTGTAAATAAAGGTTCAAAGCTAGATTCATAAAGGAGACATCAGAAGTTGTAGCCAACATTTAGGCTTTAGTGACATTTACAGATCAACTGCTACCATAGCACTGTGGACACTTATATTTCTAGAGCTAAACCCCTAATCCTTGCAAAGAGTGGGATGTTGTATATTATGGAAATCATAGTCTTACTACTGGGGATCCTGTTGTTGAATTACAAAATCCATGCTGAGCAGGCAGGACTGGCATCGTGGTAGGAAGTCCACTGAAAGCAAGTTATCTTCCATTACCATGATAATGCAAATTTAGAGCAGGCAGGCTGGCATAGAGAAGTAGGAGTTGTCCTGCGCCTTAACATATTCAGCTAAAAGCACGGAGTCTCAGAAGCATGTTCTTACTGAAGTCATGGTAAAGAGCTTCCTACTTTAAGTGCCAAGAAGCCTGTTTCTGAGAAAACAGACTATTTCCAGTGCATTGCTAATTATAGCTCTACATTAACCAATGTCAGCTGGGTGGCCTAAGTTTTATTACGAATACTTGTTTTCAGTGGATTCAGTCAATTCTGTGTATCAAATGTTTAGCTGGACAAAAACCTTGATAGTGCTTCCAGTCAGCCAGTAAACAAATGACATAAAAATAATATATGATGCATTTTCTTAATGTACTGTTTTGAAAGTTACTTTAACTTCTGCTTCCTAAGCTTAATCAGAGAAAAAGCAGGATTGTTGATTTTCAGTGTATCTTTACTACACTCCTTTAGCTATGTTTCCTCAATACAACCATTAGATTTTATTTTTTCTGGAAGCCCCAAAGCCACACATGAAAATTTAAAGTTGTCTTAATGCAAGCAAAGATGACTTGACATACTTTTTGGAGGAGGAAAAAAAAAAAACAACAAAAAACCCCCAAACTCTTGCTCTTTGTGCCTTAGTTCCTATACCTACCGAGTGTGCCAAGTGCATATGGAAAGGTTTCACTGTTAGATAGTGTGTTTGTATGGTTCTACAAAGGTAAAAGCTGTATGGGGACTCAGAAGTTTGCATTACATGTCTGACTAATTGCCCTGAAAAAGACAAACTTACTCTTAAAATAAGTGCAACTTAAAATTATAAAAAGATGTAATAAGCCTTATACCTGAAATTTTTATATTGCAGCCATTTAATGTGTTCCACCTCTCACTTTGAATTCTAGAGCAGTTTTGGTTAAACAAGATGACCATTGAATTGTGAGGTTACGGGACTGCCAAGACATGTACACCACCCAAGCTAGAATGGGATGTTCTGGTTGCAGGAGATGATGGGTCTCCTGTTCATGAACCTGGTCATCAACAGTTCTTGGATTTCAAATCCAGCTGGTAAAGTTTCTAATTAAAAAAAAAAAAAAAAAAAAAATTCTTACTACTTTATTTGCTATGTTGTCTTGCACTCTCTTCTTAAGTGTTTGTCTAGTCTTCCACACAATTCTCAAATAACCAGTCTGAGAAGCATGAATGTACCAAGTAATTCTCACTTTTTCAGCAAAGGAGTGCTCTGTCCAGTGAAACACTGCATAGTCTAAAACAGAGTTTTGGCGTTCTGTTTGGTTACGCTGATTAACTCCCTAAATGATCAGTTGGTGTTTCAGGACAGCAGTTTTCTGAAGTAACAATCTCATTATATCAAGTCATTGTTGACTTTCAGTTTAATTTGAATTTGGCTTAAAATCAGCAATTTCCCAATTCAGCTTATTTTTTTCTGAGTGCCACAGTGCAATAAACAAAAACCCCAAAATATAATTTGAAGGGGGGGAAAAAAAAAAAAAATCTTTGCTTTTATGAGCCCATTTTATTTCACCAAAAGAATGAATTCCAGATTTAGAGGACTGACTTCAAATAATATTAAAATAGTGACCAGAGTACAATTTCAGGCTGAAAGTATTGAGTTCTTCAGATTGTGACTGTATACTAGCAATGGTGCTTTCTCTCTCTCTTAAACATGACTTAGGTGATAAATACCTAAATAAACTCTCAGTACTCTTTCTTAACTTGTATCTCCTACTTGAATTATTGCACATGGCCCTGAAAGCTGGTCTAGTTTTTTCCAACTAGACTATATAGTCTAGTACAAGTGACACTTTGCTTGGCCTAAAGAAACTGACACTCTTCAATCTGTAGAGATGGAAGCTGGGGCAGAGCTATTCATTGTTTTTGAAATAATGAAGCAATATCATAAAGTTAATGTTATTAAGAAAACCCTGCAATGTTAGCACTGGAGAACACATGCTAGAAGTGGTAATAAAAACTGAGAAGACTGGTTACTGGCCTGAGGTTTTAACTGACAAATCTCTGTAACATGAGACTGAATATTATATCACAGTGACTTTTTTTTATCATTCCCAGTAAACATGGCCACTCTGAGACACCTTAGCATTCACTTATAAGACCAAGTTCCTAATTTTCTGTCATGAATGTTATTGATCTCTCTTTTTGAACAGTTAACATTTTAATTGTTACCATCTGCTAATCAAGGTACATTAACCAAAAAAAAACCCTAAAAGGTAATTGACAACTGGCAAAGCAAGTTGTTAAATGATCATCCGCAACAGTTTGAAGTAAGACACCTGATGGAGAGCAGGCTACTACTGTGCACTAATAATGCGTTGCAGGTTAGAACACTTAATAGGATTCTGTCAGATTTTGTTGCCAACCCTGTTAAAAATCCTTTGTATGCAGCAATGTACAGGTAGAACTGTCAGCTGGTTTATACAGTAGAATACACACTTTAAAGCAAATTTTCAGTGAAAGCTTCACACTGTATAGAACCTGTCTCTTCACCATTTTCTACTTTTAAATGTTTAGTGTACTCAGTATTACAAATAAAAATAAAATACAAAATAAGCTTTTTATAAAAAAAAATCTTAAAGCACTTCTGAAACTTCAAAATGTTGCATTAAGTTTTCCATCACATTTTTGCACTTCTGAAATGACTGCTCCTACCACAGTCCTAGATCAGTCATTCCCCTTTGTTTTGCCATCTAACTTTTCCTAAATGCTACTCGCTTTGCTACATTTTCAGCTCCAAATTTTGCTATCAATTTATTTCTGACACAGTCATCATCTTTTTGCAATTCTAAATCATCCACTCTGTTCCATACAGGGTACCCATCCAAGCGCTGCCCTGTCTGCAGAAAGTATAAGGTAGTCTCTACTTCACCAGAGTTTTTCAGAAAGGCCTGTGTAACAGTCAACAGGTCCATGCCAAACTTCTCCATGAAGTGCTGAATAGTTTTAACTACTTCTCCCACCACACTGGCAGAAGAGCAAGTGCTTGTTGGTCTTTCTTCCCTTTGTAATTGAGTGTCAGGGAGAGCAGAGTCCTCTGGTCCAGTTTTCAAACCAGATGCTGTTTCTCCTGGGGACTTTCCCTCTCCATCTTGTGTAGAAAGTTCTTCTGAAATATCCGAAGTGTCACTTCCTGACTAAGAGAAGTGGAGTCATCAATTAGACATGGTATTTTCTGGCAAGCTTCTTTTATCACCGCTACCTGACCACCTTCCACTGTGACTCTACATAAAAAAACTCACAAATTACTAGGCATAGTAAAATCCAGTGACTGAAGTGAAGCTGTATGCGTTAACGAACATATACAAGATCACCGAAACGCATGAAATGTAAGGTAGAATTTGAATAAACTAAGTATAAAATGCAAAAGTAAATGTTAATGCAACTGCAGGAACATTTTATGCCTGAGGTGGAAGGATGACTTCTGTTTGCCAATACAGCTTTTAATGGGACAATGCTGTCACATTTATTTCCTCAAGTTAACCTGGGTAGAGAATCAAACTAAGAAGTTATGCAGCAGTGTGGCACCATTCATAAGCCACACAGTTCATGGCTCAGATGAAGCTCCCACTTAGCCACAGCAGGGATGTCATGGTTCAAAGTCATTTAAGAAGTTAATTATGAGTTATTATAGCGCCATATTGTGACAACCGGGAAGGACTGCAGCTTGTCCTCGGTTGCTCCGCGGTGTGCAGAAGCAGCTGCAGCAGCGATGTGACTCCCCGTGCTGGCCCTGGACGCTTACCTCTGTGCTTTCAAACTCCCGATTAGCTGCCTCGAAAAGACCAGTGCTCTGTGCAGGCTCCTCCGTCTGCGGGGGCTCTGCGGGAAGACGCGGGCATCGACTGCCGGGCCGCAGCGGGGCCCAGGGCCACGGCCCCCCGCCCTCCTTCCCTCCCTCCCTCCC